TAAACTTTGTTATTTTGAATCTAAGTCAAGTAACGGAAAATACACTTGTGAACTGTCACCTTAACTGTCACCTTACTCCTCTAAGTCCCACATTTTCCTGTGAAAATATTTGAATATAAGTATCGATTAGATAAGTTCCTAACGTTTTTGAAAAGAAGAGGACAGTGAAATTTTTTTTTTTGCATGGTTCAAAATAAGAATTTGTTATTATCATACAGAACAGAGTATTTGTGAATTTTAAATATCTTAGGTCTCTATTAGATTCTTCCAAATATTAATACTAATAATTTATCTTAACTAAATTCAGTGGCGCAACAGCCCATGATGGCCAAGGCTTACTGCGCCCATTTCAGTTTTCGTGTTCTTGGGCATTGAGGTGCATGAGCAGATGTTCCGATCAAGGTGGTCAGTCTGATCCAAAAACCCCAGTGTTTAGTTCCCAATGAGCTTGATATTCATTTATTGACCTGCTGAAGGGATGAAAGGCTGTGAATTTCGTTTTCAAATAAATGGTTTGCTCTCTGAATTAGGAGGAGATGCTTTCTAAAAGCAGTTTTGTTCACATTTAATTAATATTCGAATAATTCATGACAGAATTACCCTTTAAATTTTATCAGAACCGGACTCAGAATCAGAAAAACGCAATTTCACTCCTGACACCGTGTTAACTGAAGTGATTACATATATGTGATCATGGTCCTGAAGGAGTTAATGCTGTTGATCAGCAAGTAATATAAAAAAAAAATTTAAGTCAATTCCTACTTAAATCAACAAAGAAAAATTTTATTTTAGCTACTTTTTATTAAATAGTTACAATTAATATAAATATGTATAAACATATGACAGAATCACAACATTAAGTGGTAATTCATTTTTATTAATTATCATTTAAGTATCTATTGTCGTCCAAAACAATCGTCTATATAAAATTTCAGTTGGACTGAATGCTTTAAAACGTGAGAAAAAAAACCTTTTCAAGTTTTGACACAAGTCGCTAAAAAGGTCGCTAAGTCGTCAACGTGGCTGTGTGTGTATTCGCAATTCTTTAAATAATTAGTTTTAATAAATTAATTTTTATTAATTATAATTAAATTATTGTATTGCCATCCAAAATAATCATGTATATAAAATTTCAGCTCAGTTGAGCGCTTTAAAATGTATTTTATTAACGATTGAAAATTCCACCAAGATAAATAAATAAATAGAGAGTGTGAGCTAATAGTAGGAATCGAAAAGCAGAAGACAAAAACGAAAATCAGTAAACAGTTTGGTATTGCTGAATTTTGGCATTAAATTCACTCCGTTCTTGTAAATGTTTTTGTTTCATTAAATACATGCATATATACATATATATATAAATAAAATGCAGTCTAATAAACTTGATTTTGTTAAATATATGTTGTTGGGTTTTTGTGCAATATCCCTTGTTTGTCCCTCCTTTCACTGTATATTTATTATGTACAATTTTAAGCAATTATAATTAAACTGCAAACTTTATTTTGATATTATATCCGCACATAACAATACCTTGCTATCCTTCCTGTCATTAATTTCTGCATTCATAAACAGCAAAGGACCCCCAAAGAATTTCTCCCAAAATTTCCATCCATATTTAAAATTCCTCTGTCTAGATATACATCAAAAGGACATATCCAGCTACTCTTTGCCAACGCCGTGAAAAGAGCTTACACGACTCACTCAAACAAGCCCCCGGAATGTGAGCCCAAATAATTTCCACCCCCCCCTTTCCCCAAATGCCCCCTTTTGGCGCAAGCAAAAAGAACTTTTTCCCCCTTCTAAAAAGGAAGAGAGAAGTTTTCACCTCTAAGGTGCTAGGCCGTGATATCATTTGCACATGAAAAGGGGGTCTATCTCACGTTTTTACAGAGTGCGTGCCGCTTTATTATAGTACCCGCAGAAAGTAAGTCCTGCTTCTTTTCGTCTAATTCACCTCCATCTTTTTTCCTTTTACCCCCCTCCCCGTCCAATAAAAAAAATGGGGGGGGGTGGAATCTTGGTGTATTTGGGGAGGGGCCTTTTGGTTTTTTCGGCTTCGAAAGGGGTTTTTTAGGGTTTTGGAATTTAAAAAGGGGGAGGTTTTCAGGAAAGTTTTTGTTCTTTTGGTTTGGTTTGTTGGGCAGAATTAAAATTTGGGGTTTTTCTTTTTTGTTCCCTTTTTTTTTAATGGGAAAATTTTAAAAAAAATTAAAAGGGGGGCCCCCAAAGAAAATTTTTAAAACAAAAATTTTTCCCTTTCATATAAATAAAAATCGTTTTTTATCAAAATGTTTTTATCGGTAATGTTATATTAGCTTGTGATTTTATTATGTAATTACCCATTTGCCGCCCATCCGGAACAGTGGTTAGCGACGCTGATAGCAGTGTCGTAGGCCCTGGGTTCGAATCCCGGAGAAGGCATGGATGTTTGTAAATGTATAGAGCCTTTGCTGCATGGGGGATACTCTAAAATGCCGTCGAATCCTCTAGTGAGGTTGGAGGAAGGGGAAGGGAGGCATCTTAGGATCCATCTAAATTGGGATCCAACCGAGCCAAATCGTACTGTCACCTGAATAGTGCTCAAAGCTACGGATAACGACAAGGGTACCACTAGCCCCTTGCCACGATGAATTTCGTGGGCCTTGATGTTACTGTCGATTAGGCGGCATAAGTAACAATGACACAACAATTACTCCTTTTGTGTTTTACGAAGAAAAAATTAGGGCCGTGGTAGCTTAGTGGTTATGGCCACAAACTCATGGCCAAAATGTCGCGGCAGTGACGTGTCGTAAATCCCTCACATAGCGGGGCGGGCGGATTTTAGGGGTCGCAAAACTGACTGACATCAAATATGTACTATCTGTAAGATCCAGCTTGGGGCACTAAACCTGACTTTGAAGGGCAGGGGGTCTAATACTCTCCGTTACGTCACTGTGTCGCAGGTTCGAGTTCTGGTGCCACTGAAGATCCACGGTGTAGAGGGCCGATGTACGTTACATCTGTCGTGGCTCAGTTTCATCCCATTGGTGTGGTGCGGTAGTTAGGAGAGGGGTGTACCAGCTCAGGCGTTGTCCTTGTCACTTGACCATGGTTCAAAAATTCGAGGCTCGTTGCGAAAAGCTGTCGTGTTGTTTTATAGTACGACATAATACACAACTTTCACTCACTCATGAAGAAAGCATCTTGATTCATCATTTAGAAAAGCAGCTTTAATCAATCTTTCAGTAGCTAAATTTTAAAAATATGCTTAAAAATAACAATGGCTTAAAATTTATGTAATGTGTCGCGGTGTGATATCTATATAAACTAGTACCAAACATCACGCGATAACGATCGTTCTGACATGGTCGATAAAGTACTTGCGTAGGGAACGGAAGGTACTCAAATCGAATCCTTCCTTCCTTCATTGGTGACCCTGGCCATGCAAAAGAACCGCACCCTTCACGCGCCGCAGTCGTGGCGCCATCTATCCACCACAAAAGCAAATAAGCCGTCAGACACAAATGACGCAATTAAGCTGTCACACAAAGCCGTCACGCATGAATGACCCAATCCACAAAGTGACGCAACTGCTTACATGCTCGCCACGATTATGGTGTCGTTCGTTCGCCTATTCGCCGAATCACTGGCATGGGGGTATGTGGCGGTGTGATATCTATATATACTAGTACCAAACATCACGCGATGACAATCGTTTTGGTGTGGTCGATAAAGAACTTGCGTTCGGAACGGAAGGTACACAGATCGAATCCTCCTTCCTTCAAATGTATCATCACCATATCCGGCAAGACAGTCCCTCGCGGGCCAGTGCCTTCCTTTGAAGTTTCCTCCAAAGTGATCTCTCATTCATCTTCGTTCTCCAAGTTTTCTCGTTTATTATCTTAAACTCTGATTCCGTGGCAGTTTTAGGAGATAAAGTTGGGGTTACTTCTCACTAGGTGGGTAAACTAAAAATGAATAAACACGTGAAGACTTGAAAGAATAAAGGCCATTATGAAATAACATCCCTCAAGAAAAAATTTAAGGAATATTACATATACAGGGTGTCCCAAAAACAGCACCCAAACTCGGAACAGCCAGAAACCTCGTTGGGAGTACATAAAAAATGTCCAAAGAACGCGAACAATTATGAAGAAAAAAAAATTATGTGTCCAACCGGTAAGGACCGTATTGGACACATCACAGAGTATTTTAATATTTTTAAAAATAACCCCGGGGGTTCCCCCGAGCATATCGGGGGAACCAGCCCAAAGTGGGGTGGATGAGTGTACGGTTTCGCCCGCGGGTGTCCCACCGAAGTACAAGCAGCATGCAGACGAGTCCGTCCATCTGTGTGTGCAATACCCAGACACTGCTACAGAAGCCCCGAAGAAAAAAAAAACAGGTGTGAATCTGGTGACGTGGGGGCCAAAATAAAACCTAGCCATCCAGAAACTGAGGCCCAAAAAAATTACAGAGTCCCGCCGCATCATCATGAACCGTATTTTTCTTGTAAACTAGAGATCAAACAGGTAGAGTACTTAGAGCATTTGTTTATGTACACCCAACGAGGAATCTGGTTGTTCAGAGTTTGGTCGAAATTTTTGGGACACCCTGTATATTTTCGTACAAAATTGAGAAATATTCATTTCCAATCCCTTGAGTATTCGTTACTTCGTAACTGGGAATTGATCGGAATTTGTACAAATCATAATAACTTGAAAAGAACAAGTAATGTATAAAAAAAAATTTAAGTCAATTCCTACTTAGGTCAGCAAAGAAAAAAAAATTTTTTCTTACTTTTTATTAAATAGTTACTATTAATATAAACATGCATATACATATGACATAATCACACTATTAAGTGATAAAATAGAAAGCGATTTTCCTTGCAATTTTCCATTTCCCTTTCTATATATGTGTTGGACTTTTTTTTAGTTTGTTACTATTTATTCATTAATTAAATTTAATTATTGTAATAAAATAGTGTAGTAAAAAAGAAATCACATTCTCAGAAATTAGGCCATCTAAGGTGGTATTCGAACCCACTTTGGATTAAAAGTCCAACGCGCTATCCATTACGCTTCAGGGACACAACGAGAGATTTTCCTTTGTGTATATGCTGTTGGACTTTTTGTTGTTGTTGTTTACAGTTTATTAAGGGAACACAGAACGATTCAATTGCCACAAATCAGTCAAAAAATCGAATCTATTTTTTAGGCTAAATTATTTTTTATATACTTTCCTACAAACTCACAAGCTTTAAAAGCTCTTAAGTTTAAAAGACGCAGAGCTATGATAACTTTTGAGCGTTTTTATTCACATTCCAATGCCAAATCAAAACTTTAAACTGATTTATCTCAGAAAGATAAAATAACTAGTTTGTCTTCATTTAAAATGCTAAAGCATTTTTTCTATTGTGCCTAATACTTGGAAATTTTTTTCACTTGTTGCTAATAGTACATGGAATACTTGTTGGTATTCTTTTTTCAATCAAAACAATACTTATTTTTTAAAAAAGTAATTAAATTTAGAATTTACACATTTTTTAAGGAATTTTCAATAAGCATACATAAAAAGAAGTATTGTACAAATACCAATCATGTTATCACAAAACCCATACCAACTTTTGTTACACATAGTTTGACGTACTTGTAAATCAAATTTCAACGTTTGTACGCCAATTTTTGTAGGAGGAGTAGCATTTTAAAATTACTTCATAATTTTCAAGTTTTTCGCTTGAAAAATTAAATGGTTAGCTTTTATGAAATCTTGAGCACAAAATCTGTTTTACATCATACGTACACATAGGAGGCAACCAAAAATTTTTGAAATCATTAAATTAAAAAATTTTGTTTAAATCGTGGCATGTCTCCTTAATTATATGAAATTGATGAATTAATATTTGAAAAAATGTATTAACATCAAGTGTCATCCACTACGAGTTTTAAAAAATGTATTTGAAATTGAATGGAGGAATACAAAGTATTTTATTAACGATTGAAAATTTGAACAAGATATATAGGGAGAGAGTGAACTAATAGTAGGGATTGAAAAAGTGACCGAGAGATGAAAGAAAGAGCAAAAAGAGAGAGAGTGAATGCGTAAGATAGAGAGTGACGAGATCTTCAATCAATAATTCTTAAGCAAGTTTACATAATTAGATAACGTATCAAACGAGTCTTCTTTCTTCAAATAATGGAAATTGCACTCTATGTCAACAAACTCTGCGATCTCAAGATGTTTTCTTTCGACACACACCCTCCCAGCGCAATTAGATTGAACTCTGTACAAATCCGGACCCAACCGAGCAATCAAAACTTGAAACCGACAACAAAGCGAGTCTTTCATTTTCCCAGTTAATTCAGGTTAATTATTCGCATTTAATTTAAAATCGTCATGCTCCACTAACGAATTACTTTAATGGAGCCGAACAAAGCAAATGAACACAGGAATTTTTCCGAATTTACGAACACATTTCTCGAGCGAACTCCTCCACGGAGCGGTCTTGCATGCACCATTTCACTTGGAACTTTCCGAAACTTCAAAAGGGAAGAGCAAGAAAAGAGAGAGAGAGATTACTATGCGAAAACATATTTCTTAAGCTCAACCCATTAAAGTTCCCTTCGCACCGGAGAAAGGGAGTACCGAATAACAGAGTTGCTTCTCCGTTACGGATTTAAAAGGGAGAGAAAGCTAAGAAGTGCACAAGACAAGGCTTGCAGTTTGAACTGATCTTTTGGAGACGTGCACATTATTTAGAGGCTTAGTTATACGTGTTGCTGTTTTTATCTTTCATTATTATTTGTTCTGTTTTAGCGAATGTAAACAAGTCTTAACAGGAAATGGAATTTCCTTATTTGAGATAATTTCAACGCCTCTTCGTTTCAATTTCCTTATTTTTCTCTTTTGAAACACAATTTTAATGATAATTAAGATTCTCTTTACTAGAATGTTTCATTCTGTCTTAGTACTCTGCATCGATGGTTTGTTATTTCTTAATTTTAAACCATTATTTTTTTTGGATTTTGTAAATTGTTATGTTTTTCCAGTAGTTCTCTAATTGTAATGTATACTACAAAGAGGTAGGTAAAAAATTCGAATGGGTTCTCCAAAAAGAACTGGAGTAAATATTTCTGTTATAGATTAAGTTCATAAGCAATTTCTTTAAAAGGAATTCAGTAAATATTATACAAAGAAATTATCATTCTATATTCCACGGGTGGGCAATTGTTTTAGCTCTAAGGCCACGTTGTAGAAGTAATATACCGGATGGTTCGACTTTTTTAAAAAATTATTGCATTTATTAGTTAACATTACATCTCAAACAAAGGTATCAGTTATACCATAAAAATCAATAAATATAACCGCAAGGGGACCGCAACACCTTGAAAAGATAAGAAATAGCCCGCACTCTAGAAAAGTCTGCCCACCCCATGCACACTAGAAGCGTTATGCACACAAACGTTATTTACAGTAGAACATCGTTTATCCGAATCAATTCGGACCGAACACCGTTCGGATACGCGGTTGTTCGGGGAACCGAAAACTGAATGCGATCCATACAGTATATGAAACCGGACACCATACGAATATTGAAAATCATTACGTGCAGGAAACGGGCTTGAAGAAAAAGCAAAATAGGTACAAAATGTCGCAATTTTACCTTTATTGTGGAAAATAATCACTTATATTTCGCTGTACCATTGTACACCTTCGTTTTTCGCTGCAAGGTCTCTGACTCTCTTGAGCACCATTAGTTGAGTAGGACAGCACTATGATTGTTGTTTGTACCACTCCATAGCTGTCTCTAACGCAGAAAACGCTTCATCATTTGATGGATCCTTGCTACTTTCATTGTTGTTGTTGTCCTCGTCTTCATCCGTTTCATCGTCGACCGGGTCGGATTCTTCTTGCACGAAAGTCATAATCTCGTCATTATTTAGCATTTGAAATCCACAACCTTCTGCATCGCGGGCCATCCAGGTTTCTACATCTTCTTCATAGCGTTCTTGAAATCCTGGGATCGATTGGACAAAGTCGGTCATCTCCTCCCCGTGGTCGTCATTGAAGGCTACAAAGTTAAAGTACCTACATGTAGTTGACAAAAAATAAACTGGTCCGGATATTTGACGCTCCAGATAATAAACGTTCGGATAAACGACGTTCTACTGTACAAACACCCATTTTTCCGGGATTCAAACCTGAGTCCTTCGACGTCACTAACCTCTATCCCATCTGGACGGCTTAGCTGTAAGTTAGTTCAGTAAACAATTACCTGCAGATAATGTTTTCAATACCTACTCCAATAATAATGTCATTCATTTTAACTATGGCTTGAAGGCTCTTACATCTTTAGATTCATTATCTCTTCGGAATGAATCCATCACTTCATTCCCGTAACGAAACCTGTTGAAATAATCATAACTATTAATATAACTATATATTTGTGTAATATAGGATGTCCATTTTACGGCAATATTACTAGTACATATCCTACCTAGGAGTTCACAATAAATGTTGATTTCATCCTCCTGATTATTCATTATCCTGTGTATGTCATGCATATATAGATAAATAGATATTTGAATATATGCAGGGCAGTTTAAATTGAAAACACGGTTTTCAATGGGAAGCGTATGTTTCAATTTCCGATGGGAAGATATTGAAAATTTAACAGGTGGGTCTGTAATCACTTCATATGGTACCATTAAAGAGATAGTAATAACGAAGGTATTAGGTTTTAAGTATTTTGATAGACATTTTCGTGTGAATTAACATATAAGTTGTTATTATTTAAAATGATGATGAATAATTATGTTTATATATTCAATCTGTATAATTTATATTTACTTTGAGTAAATATTTAGTACTAGCCTGTACCAGCCCACTTTGTTGGTATAAATAATTATATATTGTTGGGTATATTATACATAAAGTTGTATATAATATGCTATTTTTAAGTAATAGATATCTTTTTCGTATAATTATGCTTTCAATTGTATTGTAATACATTCGTATATCGCCCTTGCCTTTTCATTTAAAAGGCCAGATATTAAATTTGTTAAGCGGAAAATAAATATACTTTATGCTCTCGCAACTTTTTTTCACCCACCGGGTTTATTTTCACAAAACCCATTTTTAGCTGATTTCTGCTCAACAAAAGAAGCATACTTGTTATATTTTAGGTCTGTAGGTTCACTAGTTCAAAAGCGGGATTATTTTATCTATATGCCGCATAACCTCCAGCAACCTACCTTGAGAGTGGATTTCCATAAAATCCTTTCTTAGTGGATCTCTACTCAACAAAATATACAAGCTTGTTTGATTTCAAGTCTGTACGTCTAATAGTTCAAAAACAGTAATTTTTATCTATAATGCCCTCGTACGATCTCTATGCTAAAAATAAGGACGCAAGAGATAGATGTTATAGATAAAAGCATATAACGCCTCTTATTTATAATGTTCTCTAACTGTAATTTTTACGAGCTGGACACAAAAATAACGAGATTAAGTGCGCAGCTTGAAAAAAGAGGGGCGTGGGCAACAACTGTTTTGATGTCGTTATCCCACACAACTCCTCTACCAATGTGGACAGTTTCGACTTAGCTTATCATGGCACTTGAGAGTACTATAACGTTAAGCAAACACATACAACTGTATTCCGCCGGAAAAATGTCTAATGTAACTGAATAGAGCGAATTAATATTAAGTTTCTTGTGAAACTTAAGTCTCAGAAACATTTCAAATGTTAACTGAGGCTTATGGAGATAAAATTTTGTCTCGTGCATGTGTGTTCGAATGGCACAAGCGGTTTTCAGGGGGAAGGGATGGAGTGGAAGATGATTAACATGCTAGGTTCCCAAGGTGAGCAATTACAACAAATTTAGCGATATCGGATTTTCCACCAAATCTGATAATCCATGTTGCATCTTCTATAGTTACCATCATCTTATTTTTCCAAGTTCGCTCCAGGAAGTGAACTTTGCCTGTAAAACTCAACTTTCCCACAGAGAGAGAATTGCTGCAAGGAAAATAACATACCGGGTGTGTTTCAAAATCGATCTATCTCTCGATTACTCCTAAGAATATC